GGCTCTGGAAGAAATATAATCAAATATGACTTTCTGCTTGATAACGTAAGGGATTACAAATATAACTGAGTTTAACTTTAGAATATTTGTTGATAGTGCATTATGGCTTATACCGCTAATGTGAAATACCAAAGAGAAATTTTCCAAGCGTAAATGTTTAAAAGAAGTGTATGGAAGGAATTATGTAGCTGATAGAGCTCAAGATTGAAGCCTCTGGCATTTTTACACTTTATCCAACTCACCTTCAAAGTACACCATTTAATTAAATCAAAGAGAGATGTTATTCCTTATTTTACCACAAATGAAAACAAAGAGAGTTAAAGAAATATCTTGAACACCTATGTTGTAAACATAGAAGATGCAAGTTGTCCCAATTACTAATTGAACCACAAAGTTAAGCTGTTGTTCAAATCCGGTATGGTGCAAATCAGACCATTCAGAACAGGAAGCCTTAAATGGCAACAAGAGAGACCTTACAATATTGTTATTACTGAACTTATTCAGTGGGATGGGTATATAACTATTATTCCTTCTTGCATCTAGTAGAGATAAACAAGAATCTGTGATCAGTATCATAGAGAGAGTGTGTGGCATGTGTAGCTCTTGTTAGTTACTCTCAATGATTTTATTATTTCCCAGAAATGTGATACAAAGGGAAGGACATTATCCAGAGAAAGTCCCTTATCCTGACTGTGGACCAAGTGCAACTCCAGTAGGCTGTTTGTAACTCTTTACCTGGAAAAAAATCATTCTCTCCAGGTTTTTATTTGTCCATTCATTCTACAAATTTTGATGAGCACCTACTGTTCTAGGTACTTAGGATACATCAGTGAATAGAATAGTCTAAGATATCCTCATCAATCTCTATTCTTGAATGGGAGATAAAGAATAAATAATAAACATAATAAGTAAGTAAATTATATGATATGTTAAAATACGATACAAACTTTAGAAATGCAAAATGCCAAGCAGGATAAAAGAATTGGGGAGCACTGGATCAGGTTGAGGGATGGCACCATACAATTCTATCCTTTATATTTAAATAGAAATCTGGTATCTATGTACCTGACATAAGCTGGGCTACCTCTAAGATTCTTTAAAATATGAACATTAAATGATATAATAAAAACACTCCAAATATTCTGCCCTTTGTTTGTAACATTTTGATGATGATTAACTTGAGAAGTACCTAGTACTGGGAAGGCTCTCAATAAATTTCTAATAAACGAATCAACCAATATCTTAGAGGCATCTCGTGGTGAATAATTTTGATTTTTGATTTTTAATTTAATTTTTTAGTGATTTAAAATTGCTACAACAATTTTAATCACCTGAAAAATCAAATTACACATTTTTTATTCATCATGAGATTCCTCTAAGATATTGGTTGATGAAACCATCATTCTCAGCAAACTAACACGGGAACAGAAAACCAAACACTGCATGTTCTCACTCATAAGTGGGAACTGAACAATGAGAACACAGGGGATACAGGGTGGGGAACATCACACACTGGGGCCTGTCAGGGGTTGGGGGCTAGGGGAGGGATAGCATTAGGAGAAATACCTAATGTACATGATGGGTTGATGGGTACAGCAAAACACCATGGGATGTATATACTTATGTAACAAATCTGCATGTTCTGCACATGTATCCCAGAAGGTAAAGAGTAATTAAAAAAAAATTAAAAACTGCCAAAAATTGTTGCAGTAGTGACACCATCCAAGATTTCATACCAAGAGTAAATATACATAATTTGTATTATGATTTTAGTACAGATAAATGCCATAAACGTGCTTATAAATAAACATTTGTGCAGTCACTATATTTAATATCATGCATAAGGATGAACATTTATGTGGCTCCCAAAGTATACTCTAACATCTGATTTTGGCAACATAGTTATATCAGTTTTTACCGCAGAGTCTATTATTACATGGAAGTTCAAAATAAAAGAATTCTGCCTCAACTTTAAGACATTAAAAAAAAGTGACCCAATGGGAAACAGTCTACAATAATATAATTAAACTGGTGAAAAGTCAAGCTGCTTTATGAGTAAATGGTGTTATGATCCACAAATGGACAAGAGTGATTAATCAGAAATCCCCTAAGGTCACTATTGAATAGGGGATTATTGTCATTGCACTGCACACCTATGGGGATCAATTTTATGTTTAAACTGAAAGCGGGAAGAGACTTTTTCTCGAAAGCCACTTAAAAACCATTCATCCAGAAAGCTGATTTGGCTGGAAGAAAGCAGTTGTCATGGAGATTACAACTAGAATGACTGCGAGAGAGTGGCAAAGTCGGAACATTCCACAAACACCAGAATTGATGGTACATATTTAAGGAAAGTAAGAATTTCCAAAGAAATGAGGCATTAGAGATTCATTTCTCCAGACTTGACTTTGAGTAATTATGTTAGTAAATGTTAAGTATCTCATTGGACATTCCATCAGATACCAGATTGAGACAGGAATGATGCAGGACGTACAGAAGAACTAAGTGGGAACCATACACTTTGTTAAGAATCTTTCTTAGATACTTTCAGAATCCCTGTGAAGTCAATGTCATCATGGTTTCATCATTTTTCTATAAGAGCATTTCCCTAGAATACAGTACTGCATCCTTCATGCTGTGAGTTGACAATGCTAAAATAAGGAATGTATACTGCCTTGGGGAAATTTCAATTATTTTTGCTCTTTTCCTTTTTTCAAGTGATCAAACATTTCTGTGAGGGTCACAGATTATTTTAAAAGATTTTTCTAAATATAAGATTGACTGAAGTAGCTTGCTGATGCTCTCATGCATCTAATTAACAGATCAAGGCAAAAGTGAGAAAATATGAATGTTATTCTGGAAGTTTACAGGTAATGTTAAATGATTGTTTTAGTGATTCACTATGCATAAGAAGCTGAAATCTGACCAAACACTTATATGCTGCATTTCACAAAAAAACACATTTTTAAAGGGATCTTCAATTTAATATTTTAATGGCTAATTATGGTTTTCTATATTAACACCCCAAAATAGAAAGGGAATTTAGATTTTTCTTGTTATCTAATTTATAACACTTATGTTATTTGATGTAGAGAATAAAATATTCAATTACTCTCTGAGATGTTTCTCAAAGCATATCAATTATAAATATTAAATTCCCTTTACTTTTATAGTTATTGTTCTCAAGACATGTAATAATCTTCAACTCAGCAATGCACATATATTAACCTGAAAAATACTTATATATAGAGCTTCAATATTGTGGAGTCTTTGAGGTTCATATCATTAGACTTTTTGTTTACCTTAAATATACACAAAATTTATTTTTTAAGAAAAGGATCTAGAGACTGATTGCCCAACATCGTGAATGTACTTAACACTACTGAATGATACACTTAAAGATGGTTAAGATGGAAATTTTACACATATTTATGGGGTACGTGTGATACTACAGAGTACATACTTGTAATGATCACATCAGTGTAACTGAGATACCCATCACCTCAAACATTGATCATTTCTTTGCATATCATTAGACTTCGATACAATAGGAACTATGTGATAAGGTAAAAACAAAAGGGCAAGACTTCTAGAAACTTCTTTGTACAGAGATATTTAGAAGATTTCAATAACTATGTCACCATGATACCTTGATGGTTTATAAATGTGAGATGGTTTTATTAGTGTTGTTTTCTGAACCATGTGATAAAACTGGAGCAGCACCATTCCAATAGCAGGAGTTATTAATATTTCAGCAAGGTTGGAGGATAACTGCCATGTACCATGCTCCTAGCAATTTAACTCATCCTTTTTTGGTCACTTCTATCAAGTAAGTAAGAGGTCATTGTCTAGTATTTGCAAATATGTGATATCTATGTTTCAGGCTGCCCTACTGTGAACTGCTTTCATTCCATTGTAAAAAGACGAATGTATTAAAATAAAAGAATGGAGAAAATTGCTTAATACTGCCTATATTAAGATTAAATATATTCTGTTTAGAGGCCGGGCGCGGTGGCTCAAGCCTGTAATCCCAGCACTTTGGGAGGCCGAGGCGGGTGGATCACGAGGTCAAGAGATCGAGACCATCCTGGTCAACATGGTGAAACCCCGTCTCTACTAAAAAACACACACAAAAAAAGTAGCTGGGCATGGTGGCGCTTGCCTGTAATCCCAGCTAGTCAGGAGGCTGAGGCAGGAGAATTACTTGAACCCAGGAGGCGGAGGTTGCGGTGAGCCGAGATCGCGCCATTGCACTCCAGCCTGGGTAACAAGAGCGAAACTCCGTCTCAAAAATAAAAAAAAAAAGATTAAATATATTGTTTAAAGATGGCACTGTTCACAAACTTTTGGCAACACAATTATTATTGCTGCATTTTTGCTTTCTTTTTTGGTTTAGAAAATAAAAGTGGGCACAGTTTCCTAGGAGTATGCATACTTTCTGTGTTGTGTGTGTGTGTGTGTGTGTGTGTGTGCGCGCGCTAATTTGAACTCAATGGAAAATTAATAAAAGTTTGAGTTTTCACCAGTTACTAGTTTCCATCTTCTCTGCTGGTTAATGACATTTTGGGCACATGGCAAAGCTTGCCAGTTTGGTTGTTAAAGTCTGTTTAAATCTCAAACCGATTCAAATCTTATTTCCTTCTTACTCCCTTTCTATGCACAGACTTACTGGGGATTGTTGGGTGTATCCAACAATCAGGCTCTTGATAAGTTCTGGAGGACCTTTCTGGCACCAGTTTTGACTACCCTTTGTAAGATATGGGCCCCATCAGGCTTCCTGTCACCATCTTTGGGACTTAAGTTGCCAACTTCTGGACAAAGAGGCAATGCCATTGAATGTCCTGTTACATGTAAATGATATATGTATGGTATGGTGCTTCACAGAGTTTAATTTAGAATACACTTCTGTAAATCTTCACTTTCATTCTACTATGATACATGTGCCTTTCCCCGCCACACTCGTGAAGATAGCAAATATATAACAATAAAAATTGAATTACCATGGCTGTTACATCTGGATGTTTCCACGAGCCTGCCATTTTGATCGTAGCAGGCCATTGCTTGGTAACGATATCCTTGTCCACATTCCTTGATGTCTCCTTGTACTTTCATTCCCAACATCACTTCCACTTTTCCCTCTGGTAAAATACAGTCTGACCAGTTCCCCACAGGCTGTGCATTGTATTTATCACAAGGACAATATTGAGTCTCAATCAGGGGATACAAATGGGAATTTTTACATTTTTCCTTCTTTTTACTTTTTCCTGTGGAAGAGAAACCACCAGACAATTTAAGCTGGAAAATACCATTATTAATTTCATACACCCCTAAATATTCTACTTTCCTAATTTCCTTTTCTCCGTTTTTAACCTTACTTAACAGTAGCCTATAAATCCATGCTATTTTCTCACCCCACAGTGTTTTCTATATAGGCTCTTGTTGGTATTGTGTGCTTTGCATAGTAAAATTTGTATTGTTTTTTCAGTACACTCTTTTTCACATACTTTTAAATTATGCTACATATAACTCATGACATATATTTACCTCTCACCTTCACAAGCTGTGTTACATAGTTTTTGACAGTCTTCATTACATAGGTGGTTCATTTTTTAACTTACGTTCTAAATAGTCTACTAGAACCAATAGTTTAAAGTTTCTTTTGCCATGGGCAATACTTCAGACACACCAAGCTTTAGTTCTTGCTTATATTCCTGCTTTTAGTCATTATTATAGCTTAAAATACAGTTTTCAGATAACAGAATTAATGCTATATCCCCCTTTCTTGGTGAGAAAGGATAATCTGAGGCTCTGCTAGTGAGAATGGGTTAAGTAAATGAAGTAGCAACTTTTTCTTTTGTCCCCCAAAGACTTTGCTCCAAGCACTTTACAGTCTGCAGGCAGTCCACTAAAAGATCATGTCTACACTGGAAAATAAGGTACCGCACATTAAATAGGGAGTCAGAGTTCAATTCTCAAGGCTTCCTTTTCTTTCTACTGAAAGAACATAATGCTATTATCACTACCAGCTGAATTTAAAATACACATCTGAATCCACTGGTGTATTATCTTTCAAATACATCGTCAGAACTCTCTGGTCTAACTTGTATTGTGTTTCTCTACTTTGACGTGTACTGGCTTTGGTGTCTCAATTATTCTCACCAACAAGAGTGCGCTTTCTGGTTCTAACTGCACCACAGTCTCCATTGCATGAAGAAAACTTGGACCAGCTGGTCAGTTGACAGTCATCCTGGCAGGGGATCTGGCAGGTTTGGGTAAGGGCTGGCACAGGGCCTGCATACTGCAGGCACTCGTGGATTCCAGCCTGCCCTCCATCTTGCTTGCGACAAGTAATGGCTAAAAGAAAAACATAAAAGTGTTATAACAAATTTAAACATCTAATTACTCTATAATTTAGAAGCTAACCTAACATTTGGTTAAGCTGTCAGAGAAAGCCTCTTTTAATTCCTTCCTTACAGTAGAAATCTTCTAGGAGTATTTCTAATAATCGCAGTTGCCATTATATTGGTTTTGTAGTTTTTTGTTAATAACACATAACCTTGAGTGATTTTTGTGGCACAGAAAAGCGGACACACGCACACTTGGCATTTAGCAGTTTTAATTATATGTATTCAGGGTTTCAATTGATGTCACATGTAGGATATTTAGAAATAAAGTTTTAAGAATGTAAGACATATCATACATGGGTTCTGATAATAGTTTATATTGAGCGTAGGATGCTTGCAGAGGGACTGGAAGACACCAGGTACCTCTAATATTGTTTGATATCATTGGACACCCTAGAATATCTACGAAAATGTGTTTTAGTGGCCACAAGCTGGTTGGTAGGTTGAGGTCAGGAAGGTGGGTTTATAGAACTTATCATGAAACTGCAATGGCATGGAAAGTGTGTTCACTGTAGTACACTGCGAGTTTACTAGGATGGGTTGGAATGATGAATGGATGGGTAGTGTCAAAGTCTTCCATCTCCTTCTTCTACAAGTTCTTCACATGCACAGACATCAACCTTGCACTTAAAAATGTTCAATATTCTTAATTCATTATGCTAAAATTTATATTTCTAGAATTACATAAAAATTCTTTAAAAAATCAAAGTTTCAATTGATAGAAATTAGTTCTTCTAAGATATTGTTCTACTGACTTAAAATAAGAAATATTTTTATTGAACACACACACACACACACACACACACACACACACACACACGACTGCTTTATGGTAACAAATCTTAAAGAAAAAGAGCATGTATGTTTAAAGTCCATTTTCTCCCTAAGCCATTTCCTTCCCATTGTTTTTAAAAACAACTCACTTATTAATTGAGGAAGCAGATGAAACATTTAAACCTTGGTCCCAACATTGTCTTCATTGAATTATCTTAAATGGCCTCATTCAGAGTGATTTACATGGCTTTTTCAGGTTTATGGTCTAGGCTGAAACTGCAGCTGATCTCTGCCCTCTTCAGGATTCCATCACCATGAAATCAAGGTGAAGGAACCTGACATTTTTGACATTTCTACACCTGCCATTTAGAAGAAGGATTGACTCTTTTAAATACTTTAAACTTAGTAAGTGCTGATGGCTCATGGACAAAGTTGCCCAGGACACAGAGGGCCTCAGGTTAGAAAACAGTGTCTGGATCTATATACTAAAACCTCATGCCCAGGAGTGCAAGGCTTTGTAATAGAGTGTGTAAATGGACATAACTAGCAATTTTAGCAAGACCAGATGTTCTCTGTGCAGTTGAACACAACTTAAGGCAACTGCTTTAGTCCTAACATAAAAGACCCTTCTAAGTTGTTCAAATGTGGACGTACTTCCCTATTTCTTAGCTTTAGATGTGCTTTTCATTAAGTGCACACGACTTTGGAAGAGACAATTTGTCAGAAAAGAACAGGGGCCCCTAAATTTTTAAAAGTATGAAAATCCTGATAGGGTGAACAGTGGTGGCTTTGATGAATGTCAGATGACAGAAAAAAAAAAACAAAACCATTAAGTGTCTCAAAGAGAATCTACCCAATTGAGGGAGGACACATCGGGCGATTTGTATTTATCATAGTGGTCTAAGATAGAGGTTCTCAGGTCTGGCTGGAGATTATAATCCCCTGGATTACCTTTGGAAGATACCTATGCCCTTGCTAAACTCTAATATTCTGATTTCTCTGGTTGAGGTTGGGGTCCTGCGAATTGCAATACTTTTTAAGCTTTCTGATGATTTAATTATGCAGGCTATGTGAGAACCACTGCTCTAGTAGGTAACATATTTCCACCTGCATCAGAAACACCTAGAATGCTATTAAACTTGAAGATCCCTGGACCCAAGAAGAGTTCCATAATCTGAACCCATCCAGATAATGAGGTATCTGTTATGGGGTCAAAGAATATGTACTTTTTTCAAGATGCTCAGGTGATCCTTATGCACATTCAAATTTGAGACCCACTAGCTTGAATATTCAAGCTACAGGAAGGGTTCTGGCAAACACATATGGCTAAGACAGAAAGTCCTTCTTTGGTACCTAATTGCCCTGATACCATGCTAAGCTCTGGGAAACAATGGCTGAACGCTGTATGAACTAAAAGAGCTCTAAACTTGGAGTGCAAAGGAAGAGCATGACAGAAACATAGACAGGGAATAGATTAAAAAGAGCATCCATATAGTTTAGAAGAACATCTGTAGCATGGTATAGGAGAAATCCCCAAGATGCAGGCTATAAATAAGCTGATGTGATTCTGAAGTTCTTTCTACACCTGCCATTTGGAAGTAGGACTGACCTTTTTAAATACTTTAAACTTAGTAAATGCTGATGGCTCATGGACAAAGTAGCCCCAAGGATGCTCAAAAGAAAGAATTGATAACCAGAAAAATATTAAACTTTTTACTAACCAGGACAGGCCAGAGCCTCAAGAAGGATATATTTGGAAAATAAGACATCTGATCATATGAGAATCCTGACTGTGAAGAGGGTTGCACTGTTTATAACCAAAGGACAATTAAAAATCACCAAACTAAATTTGGGTTCTTTGAAATGAGACTACTTTTACCTATTTATCCAATTTAACTCTCTGAAACAGACTTGAATATACATCTTTTGAGAAATTAGATAAAACTGACTTAGGTTCTCTATTAAGCATCTTTCTTACAAATTTTATTTCAGAATTGCTCCAACCACTATCCTCTAATGTGACATCAAAAAGAAAAACAAAATGAAATAGCACTTCTACCAATATAATTCCAGAAACGATTTTGTGCAGATAGACAGTATTCTATAAATTGGAATCCCTTTTCCCTATATACCTGCACCACAAAAAAATCTTATGTACTTCAGCTAGCTGAAAAGAAAAAAAAGTGTAAAATTCCCACAGCTATTCTCAGAAACCCACTCAGCACTTTACACCGCTCATCTGAGATTTTAGACAATACGCTTTTGGAATAAATTACTCACACAATGTTATCCAAACAAGTAGCAACCGCACCATTTATACAATATATTGAAAATTTCTCCTATATCTCAACTTGTTTGGAATCTGACTTAGAGGAAACACAACAATTCAAACACAGAAATGCAATCTGAAATGAACTTCCTAGTATTAGGGTGAGGAAAATACAAATGTTTGGAAAGGAAACCATCTGGTCTCTCAATTTTGTAAATCTTAAAAATCATTTCTAAAATACTGAAAACCGGGTGGTTTGAAATGTAGAAAAGACTGATCATACTAAGAGCTCAGTTTCTTAGCGCACCAGAAAACTACATACAGACAATTGTATCTGTATTTATGGGTGAAGCATGTATATGTGATATCTAATGATTACACATGTTCTCCTTTGAGCTGAAGCCTTGTTAGCAAGATGAGGAAAAAAAAATGTTATCCTACAGATAATTCACCACAAAAGCTTCTCAGTGACATTAGCAAAAATCAAAAGGATTATTTTAAAGTAAAATTCCATATTTAACTCTATATTGATTACATGCATTTACTTCATTTATTTTATTCATATAAAGCACAACAATTTTTATATAAGTGATATAGGACAGGTTGTTCCTGGCAGGTTGAAAGCATGGGAGGAATCAATATGACTGATTTGTGGGTTACATATGAATCAGGTTAAGCAAGCTTAGCCCATCAATGCTGGAAAATGGTGTAAAGATAAATAAGAAAATTTCTTCAACAAATAAATGCTATGAAAAAGTGTGCCAGAACTGTTGTTAGATTAAAAGTGACCTAAGGAATACACGAAGCACATGCAATGTGGAGACGTTTTAGAACCTTAGTTTGAATAAACTATGCATAAACATTTTTGAGACACTGTAGAAAAATTAAACAGGCTCAAATATTAGAAAATTGGAAAGAACTGTTGATTTTGTTTCATGTAATAATACTATTGTTATGTTAAAATGCTCAAGTATTTACATATATCTTACTTGGAAGTTGCATTAAAAAATGCAAGCAAAATTCTTTTTGTAGGGAGAGTGACAGATGACCAAGAATACCAATATGTTAAGAACTGCTAAACCCACGTAAATGATGACTACATGGCTAGTACTCATTATATTCGTTCCTCTATTTTTGTGTATCTTGAAATTTCCCATAAATTTAAAATAAAATGTTGGTACGCTGAATAAGTAGAATTAATTCTGGAATATTTCCATGTAAATTGAGTTTTAAGATATGTTTTAAAGAGAAAAATAATAAAGGTTCATGGACTGAAAGGGAATAGATAATATGGGCTGAGCTGAGAGGATGTGGATATCTGTGTTAGGCATACATGAGTGCGTAAATGGAAGGCTACTGCTGCAGCTCTGAAGTACATCAAAATGGAATTCTGAGTGTAATTGCTCATCTTCATTTCTGAAGAGGAATGAAATTTCCTTATTATTCAAGTTTCAGAAGAAGACGTTCTATTGGTCAGTGAATTACTCTTCCACGTGTAAGGCCATGCACTCATTTTGTTTGAATAATCAGAGTGAAATAAATTGCCTGATCTAAAATGGGCACATAGAAGTTCATGACAGAAAACTGAATAGGATCAATGCCTTAGTGCAGTGAAAGCTGTTGGATTATACGTAGCAAATGGTTCAAAGAGCTCTGTGACCTTATTATTAAATTGAACAATATTAACATGGTTTAAACCACTGCACTAGAGTCTAAGTAGCCTTAGAGACAGAACATGATCAGCTCACTGAGTAATTAAATGAGTGACTTTTTTCCTATAGTTTTAGGGAAAAAATGGCAATAGTGAGAATAAATCATGTAGAAACGAAGAAGAAAAAGCTTAATGTGAGTGGGAGCTAGTTTCCAGGAGACCTAATTGTGCTTAGAAATACGATCAAACCTATAAA